TGTTGCAGTGGTTGATTTAGTTGCGTTAGCTCCTTAACCTGTTGCACTTGATAAGAAGGATGCTGACGTTGTTTCTGTTGATATTGTTGGTGAAGTCCAGCCATTATGGTTGCTTGTGTCTGCTGTAATTTTGCCATCCCCATACTAGACGTAGCTTTTCGTACATTTTTTCCTTCCTTTTTTGATACGGGTTTAGCTTTCGGACGATCGCTTATAGCAGTATTTTGGCTGACGTCGCTGCTTGCAGTAATAGGCGATTGAGAAACGGCTATAACGGTTGGAGGCGTAGAAATGCTCGGCGGACTCGGCGTAGTTGTTGAAGAAGTAGCACTAATGAGTGATACGGTGGTAGTAGTTGTAACAGGTAATGGCGCAAGAGACAAGGGAGGTGAGGAAGGAAATGTATTTGTGGGGAACGTTTCCGTCGCGGTTGGAACCACGGAAAGCGTTTTCTGGAATTGTGCAGCTTGCATCCCCATTATTTTACCATCAAGATAAGCGCTGCACACCAACGCTGCGTCGTTAGTGTGCACCCCTGGATACGTCAGTGAACCACCAGACATACCGGTTGTATTGCAAACTAAACCTTTCAAACAAAAAATTATAGAAAAATTTCATGTTGAAAACATTAACATATACAATCATAAACATTTAATGTAAATGTTCATTTCGATAAAATAAAGAAAATACCATGAGGAGATGTCGACTGAGCTGGCAAGTCAATATTCAACATGCCCGGTAATAATGCGTCTGTCTCACTAGGATCTTGCTGCTGCTGTTGAGATTGATTAATAATTGAATTCCGTGGACCAGAAAACAAATGTCCTGCTCCTTTAATTTGTAGTTCTCGTTCTACCCTCTGAAAGAGATACCATTATACGACTTGACAAAGAGACTATACGAAACCGTGCATACACACGCATACATATAGATATATATAAAATACAACATAATTACAAAAAATGCATTCTATTTGAACTTTTTTTTGTCTATTTGAATTTTGTGTCTGCGTATACATCATATATAAAAATAATTATATTTTTAGATGAGTTAAGCACATATAAATGCTATTTGCAGTTAATCAAAGATTCTTACAATATGTATTTAAATATATCAGGGAATTTTGTCGAGAATTAGTACAAAGGACATACTTGCAGTTCTTCAAGTATTTGTTGCTTGTGAAGGATTTGCTCTTGCCTAGTTACAGCTTTCCGACTTTCGCTGACATGTATCACTTGCGTTGACGCTGCTGGCGTCGGACTAAGACTAATATTAGGTTCTGACAAACTTGTAAAACCCCCACTGCCTTTATCAAGAATATTGGTATCGTCCTTAATAGTAGTGGTTGATTCTCCTGCGGGCTGTGAACGAACTTGTTGCGCTTCGGCAGAAGTAAGGCTCATATCGGGCATCATAGTCACTGATCGATTTTTTCTTAACAATGATTTTTGCGTATTATGTTTGGGTTGAAGATTTTGCGCTTGTTGTTGCTCGGCAGCTTGTTGTTGTTGTTGTTGTTGTTGTTGTTGCTGCTGTGGTTGTGTAGATGTTTGTTGAGAGTGAGGTACGTGTTGTTGATGACTTATATGTTGTGGTTGTTGCTGTTGTTGTGATTGCTGCTGCTGCTGCTGTTGCAGTTGTGGCTGCTGTTGTTGCTGTTGTGGTAATAGCATGGGCGCAGGTGCAGCACTATGAGGAGCACTCATCATAATACTATGAGGATAATCCAATAAGAGTTGAACAACAGGAGTGTGACCCCCTTTTGCTGCTTCTATCAGCATAGTAGAGTTATCCTATAATTTATTTCATTGGGTTATATATTAATACAAATATAATTAATGCCTTGAAAAGATTGTATAGAAAATATTAAAATACTGTACGAATGTCGCACAGAATTGAGAAATTGGTAATATCGTATATCACATAATGTGTCAATCTTACTGAGAGATATTACGTTCATATTAAATCTTTGTGAACTTTTCTATATTTCAAAGTGTATATATATATATGCAACAAATTGAAATAAATCAGAAATAATCATATAAAAACATGACATCTACTTGAAAAGTACAATTATTTCAAAGTACAAGGATAATCTCTTACTTTTAATTTATGAAAAGGATTCGCAGATTGTGCAAGAAGTAGCTCAACCACTGCAAGGTGACCACCAGCACACGCCAAGGAAAGTGGTGTGTGATCATTATTTGTCGTTTGTCGATTGACATCGGCGCGCTTCGAGATGAGGAATTGAACTGTGCACAAATGGCCCGCTCTACAAGCCTTCATCAGTGGAGTTCTACCTCCTTCTGATTCGTGCTCCTTAAATACACAATGAATTGATATAAATAATTCGCACAGAGATTGAATGAGAAATTTAACGAGACGAAATTATATGGGAAAATATATAAGGATAAATTTTTGCAAAAGTTGAGTATTATACAATTATAGTAAAGGCGTACTAGATCAGCGCCAAATTGCAATAGAAGATCAGCAACGTCAGTGTGACCGTTCTCGCATGCGTATGTCAATGCTGTATCTCCTGTTTGCGTCTGAGCGTGAACATCTGCCGCAGATTCCAATAAATATCGAACAAGATCCAAGTGCCCTTCCTGTGCAGCCTCCATTAGAGGAGTAGATGCGCCCAGCTCGATATCCGCTCCCGCCTTGATTAAAAAATCGGCAACTTCCAAGAAACCACCGCAACAGGCCAAAGTAAGCGCCGTTTCCTGAGTTTCCTCAGTTTGAGCATTGATGTTTGCACCTTTTTGTTGAATACATCCATTACATTGTATCCCTGTTGTTTAACATTATATTATGTTCATTCGAACGAACAACAATACATACCTTGGCTCAAAAGTAAAGCAACCATCTCTTCATGACCCTCGCGCGCTGCTTCCATCAATGGAGTATAACCCTCGTCGTTAACTTCCTCGATATTTGCTCCACGTTCGATCAGAAGCATAGCCAGGTCCACGTGACCCCCGCAGGCAGCTAATGTTAATGGCGATTCAAAACTATCCGTCGGCATATTTACTTGGGCACCTGAATCTAAAAGTAAACGAGCAACTTCCACGTGACCGTCCATTGATGCTTCCATAAGGGCGGTATGCATCTCGTCGGTTTTATGCTCCTGTAAAAATGCATAGAAACATCATTATTTGTAAAATTATAAGATATCAATATTTGAATTAAGATTAGGTTGCGTAAAAAAAATTCTTAGATCACATGTTTTCCATTCCTTGTCCATCTCTTGTCATGTAATTCTATGTACTGGAAGGCTTTAAACTGTACTAAAACAATTCGAAACAAAGCAGCGCTACTTACGTGGCGTTAGTTAAAAGTATAAATGTAGGGGGACGCTAGATGAGAACCAATGAGCGGTGAAATTAAAAACATTGATAGCCAACATTCACTCCCATTAAAAAACAGGTAATTTTCGGAGGAGTAACCATAGGAATGTTATTAGAAAAGTTGCATTTCTTCCTTTTCCGAAACTGACTTTCCAGAAAAGAGAAGAGGCAGCAACTTGCCTATCTGTATGTTCGGTGGAATGTGACAGGTGTTTTCCCTACCAACGATTATTTTATCGTCTGTAGATACACAGATCAGAGCGCACTCTATTTCATCTAATATTATCTTTACTGTACATCGCAGAGAAAAGGATGAAACAATCATTGTTAGTTACCTGATCGGCACCAGCTTCTAGCAAGAAACGGACCATTTCTAAATGTCCCTTGTAGCAGGCCAACGTTAACGCAGACTCTTTAAATTCATTGGAATGAGTATTAATGCCAGCTCCGTGTTCAAGCAATATCTTAGCGACTGGAACATGCCCAGCGCTTGCCGCTTCCATGAGAGGTGTATGACCATTCTCATTGTGATCCTCAACATTGGCTCCCGAATTTAGTAGGACACGTACAACCTCTTCGTGTCCACCGGCGCATCCATACATAAGGGGTGTATTACCTTTGATCAATACAATTACATTTGAAACAATACCGAAACGAAACGACACCATGTAACCTCAATAATATTTACACATAGCGTTAAGAAGCTAATGTATCGTTGATTTTACAGTATATTGCGATATAAAAGGTGCAAGAAACGGTAGGATATTTTAATTTTACCTGACGTAGACTGAGCATTAACATCAGCTCCATGGGCAATCAGTAAAGATACAATATCTACATGCCCTGCACTAGCAGCTTCCATCAAAGGGGTGCAGTCCCCCTTGATGCCACGATCTTCTACATTAGCATTCATCGCCAAAAGTACCTGTATCATAGAAAAACGCAATGACGGAAAAATTTCATCGCAGTCTACGAAATTAATTTCAAATAAATTATCTTACACAATTATATGTATCTGCATACAATTATAATGCCAACTTCATGTCCGTGATTAACATGACAGTTTGATAAAGAAACAAGGAAAAAAGTTGAAGTATGTATGTATATAATGTCTCTTATGTATATATAAGAGACTTGAAGAATGTATGTATTTACGTTTTAAAAAACTTTTCCATAAGAACACATTTCTCTTATGTTAATTACATAATATTATAATTAAAAGTAATTTTAGCTAATTATTATTAATTAAGTAAATCACGTAAATATAATCACGCAAGAACAGTTGAAAATAGATACATACATCAAAAATAATTTTTCCAACAGTAAAGTTAAGTTAGAACCTCCTTATTTTCGAGACAAAGTAACAATCGTACACTGTTAAATAATAAGTAATTTGTTAACCGTCTGAGTGGCTGTAATAACAATAAATGTAATGTAAATAAATTTGAATTGTTTCGACAATTATTAAATACATGCCAAGAGATTTTATTTTTACACCTTGTATCCTTACAGCCAATGCACAATAACATTATCGAATAATACGTTCGATATTATTTATTTTCTGATCCTTTTACATAATGAGAATTACTGTACCAATGTATTATTACAGCCATTCAAACTAAACTATTAATATTAATTACAACACCTGCACAAATAAAGTGAGTATATAATATACATTTACACGGTAAAATATGCGTATCAAGAAAATGACAAAGGAGGAGAGGCAGCATGCGCCAACGTGCGCACACAGCAGAACACGTCTTTATCTATGAGAGGCACTAGAGTGTCTTTCACGAGATTTTTCTTTTTCTTTTTTTTTTTGGAGAAAAAAAAGAGACAGATTTATACGAGAGCAAAATTTATGAAATCCATAATGAGGGAGGGGGAGGGGGGCTCATGACGCACGCATACACATACCGCCGCAATGAAGATTGTACGTTAAACGTGTGAGAACCGGAAATTTTTTATTCACACGCATATACGTACTTGGTGCATTTCAACGCGTTTCTAACAAAATATCGTACACGTTTCCCAGATTAAGATCAATGTAATGATAATAGAATACGAACTTTTTGGAAATAACTTGGTTCTTAGGAGGGAAAGGAATCGTAGACTAATGATTATTTGGATGCAAACCTGAGCAAGTTCGTAGTAACCAGCTGAGCAAGCGAGAGAGAGCAGACTTTCTCCCTCCTCGGTGGTCTCGTGGACACTTCGGCCCTCCGTTAATAATTTCCGAACGGTACCGACGTCTCCGTCGGTGCACGCCTCGACGAGAGAACGCTTTTCGTTCGGTGTACGCGGGTTGTCACTGCGCATACGTGTTAATGCTGCCGCAGCTTCATCCAATGCACAAGAAACACTCGATGTTAAGCGACGGAGAACCTCGTGGTCGGGCAAGTGCTTTCCATCACCCGATGATAGTTTCCCAATGCCGGCCGCTTCGAGAAGTGCTTCGAGACGCGCTTGAGTCTCAGGATCCACAGAACGTTCGGGATCTTCAGGTGTCAGTAAGAATTTCGACGACTCGGGATGATCTTCGTCCAATTCAACCTGATCGATCGCAAAGCACTCCACCTACAACGAAATATCTGTCGATAAAGTTATATAATAATAAAGAAAGAAGAGAAGAGAAGAGAATTGGATATAAGAAATTATTTGCCGTCGTCTACATTTCGATTATGCTCTCGTGATCATGCTTGATTTATCTACGCTTGATTGATCTGTGGCATCCTCAAACAAACGAGATCCCGAAATGAATCTCGATCGAGAGAGATGAGAATGCGGAGGGGAATGCCTCTTTCGCTTCGACTCGGACGTGTCGTCGTGGCGAACGCGCCCGTGTCATGCTCGAATTTTGCGCGACAGAATGGAACCGCGCGTTATCGCCACTGCGAGAGACAATAAACGTAAATCGGGAACGCGCCGGGTGAAAGTATAATTGTGTGTTTTCTAGGCTCTAGCGAGCGGCCGCTACGAGATAAGTGATGTTACGAGTGCTTAGCGCGCGGCCGTTCCCCCGTGAAGGAGCCAGGACTACCAGGAGGGGGGAGGGGGGGGGGGGGGGGGGGGGGGCCGGGGGCGAGGGGGGGGGGGGAGGAGGCA